TCGTACGGCGTACCTATCCTTACGCCGCGTAAGGATTGATTAGCTTCAGGTATCTCAGATGTCACTGGACACTTAGGACAATGATCTCGATGCTTTAACTGCGACAAGCTGCCATACGAGTTTCAATTATAATAAAAATGTGTATAATTTATATTGATTACATGAGCTGTATGTTTGATTTATCGGAGCAAAGCCATCAAGATGCATTATGAAACATTATTGTCACTTGCACGGGCCGATCACTAGGCGATTACCGTCATTTAGGAGGGCGGCTCAAACTCTGTATTGCCCTCAAAATTAAAGCTGTCGGGCCAATAATGGTCATTATCCGCCCGACAGGTCATTAGCGCCCGACAGCTCAAATATGTTCAAATATATATTCTCATAGGAATACCACAAATTATTTTAATGAAAATTGCGGTTATTGCAACTGAAAGAAGTAGGCGGTTCTGTACAAACAGTTGTTGATTTATATTTTATTTACAATACTTGTCATAGACCGATGCACGACCGATTGCACATTTGATGCGTTTTAGCTATGTAATCGTACGGCGTACCTATCCTTACGCCGCGTATTACGCGTGAAAGTTCACATTGATAACGCAAGACCCGTTGAACGTTGCATTCGGGAGCAGTGACGACAGAGCTGTTCTCGCCGTTACCAGTTGCTGGCTTTGACGTACTTCCGATGGGTCAGGCACCCGATGTTCCTGTTCGTTCATGTTCAACCAGTCATCCACTTCCATCCCACCGATGGTCAGATTAAAGTTGGGCTTTTCTTCGCACAACCGTCGTGAGGTAGCAGGCCCTCCGTTCTGTATCACCGTGGCGCTGCACCCTGGGACTACACTTGCGGCTGTGTCGGATTGCCTAGTCATCGTTTGTGCCAATATCTCAGAGCAACGCCTTTTTTGAGGAACTGTCATGTCGTCAATGTAATGTGAAAGGCTTGCGGTCCTTTTGTGTTTTGTTACCTTAACGATATCTTCAGCTGCCACTCCAGCTTGATGCAATGTCGTGACGGTGGTGGCACGAACGCTATGACATGTATAGCGTTGTGATAGCTTAGCGCTATCAGCTATCCTCTGCATGATTGTTGACAGGCTGTTCTTCCCCATTGCTTCGTTTCTGAACCAACATTCATCTTGCGTCCATGCTCTCTTTGGTGTTTGGAACAGCCTATCACTATCATGATTGATCTTTTGCTGGTACATCTTGAAAACTTCTACACCAGGCCCGTACATCCTCTGATCAGAAAAGTCTACATCTCCCTGCTTGCTTCCACCCTGATGGTTTTTTGTTGCTTCAGTTTTCGAAATAGTGACATATTCCTTTCCGTCTGGGTCTTCTCTGACGACGAAATGATCTTTCCTCATCTGAGCCCAACCTTCTCGACCTCTTCTCCCGAAGAAAAAGCAGAGATAGAACCATGTAGCCTGCAGGAGGATGGTTGGATTTGACGCGAAATCCGAGAGGTAGTCACCCAAGCGCTTCATATCGTCCTCTGTGATAGCAGCCTTATGCTGAGGCTTGGGGTTGCCTGCCTTTACGTACAGTTTGCAGCGAGCGTCAAAAATGTTGTTTGCTGCAATAAACTCTCTATCGGTTATGATGTTGATCGGTCTGCTATGTGGAGCGCTGGTCAGGCAGCGATGGATGGCCGCACGAATGCAGGTCAGTGTACTGGGCGTTAGAGTTTCCCCCGCTTTCTTCGCCTTCACTTCAGCGTAGAACCTTCTTAGTAAACTACACAGTTCTTCATGAGTAACTGTTCCAAAATCGCATGCACGGTCTCTCAATGCAAGCCATTCATTAAATTTCTTCATCCCATACTGAGTGGCCTTCGATGTGTTGTCAGGTACAACACTTCTTTCCAGCTCTATTAATTCACGCTCCGTTATTTCGCTATCCATCTGGCGTTTCCACGCGCAAAGGAGACAGAGCTATTATTACCTCAGAAGCTAAACCGAAAATGATGCACCGTTCGCTCTGACCTGCCTTATATACTCTAGTGGTGAGTGCTCGCCCTAAATTCCCGAAAAGTCACGTGCTTAACAATAACAGTATATTTTACATTCTCGCGCACTACGAACTTGCTGACCGACCTCCAGAAGATTTGACTACAGCGACTACAGCAAGCTATTGAGAAAATGGTTAATTATGAACTAGATAAGTGACAATAATACAAATAACGTGACTTTTGTCGGGCGATATGAGTTTTGAACGGCCCTTCACCATTATCAGAAGCCCTTCATGATACTTAGCGTCCCTCGCTACGCTCGGGCCGCTCAGCATCATGTCGGGCTTCTGATAATAGTGTCGGGCCGTTCAAAACTCATATCGCCCTCCAAAGTCACGTTATTGTACTATTATGCTATGCAATTGTATTGTTTCATTTTTTTTTGAAGTCCAACAGGTCTGCAACGTTTAAAAGTCAGGTCTTCTCGCTGCTTGCTAAAATGTTGGAACTTGAACTACACATTGCATTTAGTTTAGTTACATTGAAAGGAGCCTATTAATATCTCAGCATTTTCGTGCCTGGCAGCTGTATCTTACCTCCCACACCTTACCAAACTTTCATTGCTACGGGAGACGCCAACGGAGCCCTCGAGGCTCGACACGTCTGTGATATTTCAGCCTGGAGCTGGGCAACATTTCGAACAAAGCTGAAATGACTGCTGAATACGCTGTTGACAATTCCCTGTGACATAGTTATCACGTTTGCCACGTGCGGCCCTCGCCTCGAGTTTCAAAAACATCGGCGGAAAATGTTGACTTGTTGGATGTGATGAAAAAGAATGCAATATTGCGCTAGTAGTAGTTACGTGCAATAATGAAAATATGTTCTTCGTTGTAATAGTCATGGCTGCTCGAAAAGTGTCCAAAACTCGCAAAAATAGCGACGGATAAAAATGCTTATTTGTTGTCACAGATACTATCAAGCAGCTTCCTCGTGTCACAGCTTGTGTTTAATGAAATAAGCCGGAATATCATTTGTTTTACTGGCTGAATATTATTTTAGTTCAAACACATTGCAGACCGACGCCATTTATTTTGATTGAATCCAAGGTGATTCAAACCAGCTTATGTAAACTGAAACCCATTCGTTTTATCGGCTTGCTGTCATTCACTACGGTTATTGGAACTAAAAAAAAAAACACGCCTTATTCAAAAGTCTGAATAAGATATCGTGTTCTATTCGCCTGTCTCGTGGCAAATGACTTTTTTTTACAGGAAACAAAAATGTCTGTGAAATGCAATATTGCGTCTATCTCATATAGTTGCACATTAGAATCAGGTGAAGGAAGGCGCCATTGATGGGCCTTCGAGTACATACCTACAGCAACTAGTGAAAGATACAAGTGAAACAAGCGACTTTGAGTGCTTGCCTATCCTTACTCTCGGTCGTGCATAAGAATCATAACAGCTTCGTCTAATCATGGTGTGAGTTCTTACTACAAATTGGTGGCCTTTTCACAAATGACTCACGCTGCAATTACTGGTTCATGTTCACTTTTCCCTGCGTTGCACCGACACTCCCAGCGCTGCCTAACTTCGTCAAACTTTCCGATATCGTTTATAGCAAGTTAGCCTACTTTAGAACGCTGTTCGTCGATGATATATAAAATGTAATTAATTACGACTGATCGATCGCACGAGCATCTGTGTTGGGTGGATGCAGGTGTGAATGACAGCAACACGCAAACCCTCTCGCACAACAGAGGCGCAGCGGGGGTGAGCCGACAGCCGCCGGACGACAGACAGTGCCCAGGCACGAGCTACCCCGGAGTGATAGGCGCAAGCCGAGGCAGGAAAGGAATAGGTCAAATGCTGGTGCTTTACGGAGGGCTGAACCTGAGCGCATTAGACAATCAGCACTAAATCAAAGCACCAAGAAGCCCCGTTTACCTATTTAATTCGAATATCACACCGCTATAAACAAGTCAAATGGTGAATTCAAGCTTAACAAAATTCATATCGATCTAATGCGTGACGAGATCAGCCTGAATGGTCTCAACAAATGCCACATCCCAAACAGCACGCGTTTTATGCTGCTTGCTGAAGCCATGTTGGCGATTTGTAGTCCGTGGTGCGTCGAGACACATGTAAACTGTGAATTTCCGAGTCTGGCCCCCAATTTGTCCGTCGGATGGTCGCTCAGACGGTTCAGATCAATGCTCTTGTTTGTCGGGCGCGCCACAATCGTGCCTGTGGCGCCGTCAATTGCCAACAGATGGTTACGAATGCCACAATGCATCATTTTCAGTGAGAAGACAGGTTGAATGAAGGCCAAATGCGCTGCGGAACAGAAAGCACTTACAGACAATGCTACGCTATGAATGAGGTTTAATGCGGTGTGAAAGCGTAACGCATGCCTCCAAGTGAGAATACGGCCTCCATTTAAACGACATGCGGGTACCACTCCAATGTCAGACTAATTTGGATTCGATTTGTCCACAACGACCAGCGACCTACAACGCCATTCTCTTGGCAAATTGCTTTAGAGTGGGCGAAAGGTCAGAGGCTAATGTCAAAACGGTTTGTAGAAAACGGTGCTTCATGCGGGCCAAAATGAAACCACTGTCCCAAGTATCTACCTCTCTTACTAGTTTTGTTCAGGAGTTTGATAGTAACGATGATAGAGAGAAATTTCTCAAAGTAAAAAAATGTGTGCGTGATGACTATTGTAGAAACGTTGACGCAAAAAGCGCTTTTTATGTCTCTGTCGCGTATTTATGTTTTTTGACTTGCCTTTGAAGTCTCGAATTTCGTTACCAGATGCGAACGCAATTTATAAAGGCATCTGCAATAGTTATTTTTGGCTGTTTTAGTTTATCCATCTGGCATTGTTTCACTGATTTCGTAGGAATGACGAAGAAGCGAAAATATTCTTGAAGTATACGTGAGCCTGTCTTCCTCCATCCCTTGTGTGACCTTTCCCCCACCAGTTGACCTCTCACTCACCCCTCCACTGACCCTGTTTGTCGTGTGCCCGACAGAAGTCGTCCATCACCGAGGGGTGGAGCAGCCACCACTCCCGAGGACTGCTGCATCACGAGGCAGCCGTCCGGTACGTGGTCCACAAGCAGCCGCTGTCGCTGGACAGGTTCTTCCTGCACAACATCGGCGGCCAGGTGAGGATTTCAACAGCGTTGTAGGTCATATGAGGATCTCAATAGCGTTGTAGGTCGCATGATAATGCTTACAATATTATACAAAAGGCTAGAGTACGCTGAAACATCGATGACGGGGGCTGTCGCATTCTCCGGCATAGTGCGATGTCTTTTGTGGATGACGACCGTTTTCTTGAGGGGTTCAACGCGTAATTGTGTGACGTCAAATACTTACTATGGTGCCCTATCACATGTTGGTCTTGACTCTCCGCTGCGGTGCTTCCCCATGCTGCCTGCTCTGGGGCGTTTTTCGGACAGTTGTCTCAGTCTGACTCGTCTGCTTTTTGTGCAGGATGCGGTTGCCAGTCGCCTGGAGGGAGCCTTTGTCGTGGTACACCTCAACAGGTTTCAGCAGATTGCGGCCGTCTACACGCTTCTCGCGCAGTCAGAACAGGTCAAGGTAAGTATATACGGTTTATAGAAAATGACATTGTATATGTGGATTTGCTTTTTAGCTGCACTTTGCGCCGTAAACGAATTTTTGCACCAATATCTGCTTTTTCATAGGTAAACATTTGTATCGTCTCTTTATTTGGCGTTCTCCTGGAAGGATAATGATGTAACCTAGAAAGAATTCAAATCAGGCATCAGACTGGGTATATGTTCTAAAAAGAAGTTGATCTTAATTGCTCGTCCCATCTTAATTAGGAGTAACACTGTACGGGATGGCACACTCTCTTTTTTATTTTTGTCTCTTTATTTTTGTAGGTGCGTGCTATAGAGTGACGAATCGGCAGAAAATGTCGCAGTATTGATCATGTGAATGAGGTTTACAAGCTTATGGTCGGTAAAGCATCCTTCGGTTATAAACGCTGCTGCATTGTTGCCAAGAGTAAAGATGTACTCTTCCTGGTGTCAAACGACCATTCGCTCGTGCCTCGGTTCAGTCAGTGAACTTGAAACACTTGAAAATGTCATCAGCAGAAATTCAATATCGGCATCGCCCTGGTCACAGTGGCCAGCTTAGCAACCGTACAGTTCAGTGAGCTCGGTGACCTGCCATTGCGATGGGGATTTTCCTCCGTAATACTGATGCTCGGAACGCTACTTGTAAAAGTCAGCGAGAAATCATATAATCGACGCCCAGGCTTCAGCTCTTTGCAGGATAAAGTTCACCTTTGATTTTGTGATTTAACCCGCGCCCCAGTGTCAGTCTGGATTTTCCACGACCTGGTGTGTGTGGGGGGTGTTTGAACACCCCCTTTCTAACTCGGCTCCTGGGCCACGTAGCGACACGGAATAAGCGGCAATCGAAAGAACGTCAAAAATAAGGACGAAAACACTTCGGTCATTTTTTGTGTCAGGTCAAAGGTCAGGTCACCAGAGGTCACCAAAGGTAAAATGTTGACTATTTCAACATTTTGGAAACTGCCAACGGCTATCTCGGGAACCGATAGAGTTACAGCGCCGCGGAAAAGCGCATTCGATAGCCCTTTTATAGACCTTTCTGAGTGATGTCCTCAGATTTGACCTCAGGTCAACGGTTTAGCCTCCAGAGGGCAAAAACTCCAAAAATAGCCGTTTTTACGAAAATCGGGTTTTCGGCGATAACTTTTGACTCCAAAGAGCCATGGCATTACTTTTGCCAGCATCGTGTTCCTCTCGTCGAGACGCGTCGAATGAACTATAAGTTGACCTTGAAAGGTCAACTTGAAAATTTGACCTCAGGTCAAGGTCATGACCTGACCGGAAAAGGTCATGTTGCATATCAGTCGATCCGCAACGTCGAGCCGAACACATCTAAGGCGTTTTCAGCGCTCTAGCACGCCTCTATCAGAAGTTATTAGCGAAAAACTGTTAGATTCTGTTCGTGACCTGAGATGACCTCGGGGACATAACGAGGGGTCACAGTTGCCATTTTCCGGTTCAGTGTGTCAATTTTACCTACATCTCGATGTTTGAGAGTGTCTAGAATAGCGTTCGTGCAAAACAGACGCTTTTCAATTTTCTCCCATTGACTTATAATGGAGAGGCCGCAAAATTGACCTGACCTTAGGTCACCGATATCAAAATTCCGAGATATACATTTTATAGACACTGTTACCCTCATCAATCGCTGAAAGTTTCAAAGTGATCGGTCACTCGGTGTAGCTATGGCAGACATTGTAACTTTTTATGAGGTGAGGCCACTTCAAGTGACCTGGTTACCTGACCTTGAATGACCTTGGTCTGATATTTTCACAACATGTGTAGAATTGATGTATGATAAGGTGTACCAAAAACGGCGTTGCGGAGCGCCGCCGTTTTTGAGATATCTGCGAAAAACCGGATGGGGGGTGTTCAAACACCCCACACACTTGGGCGCGAGTTAAAGGCTAAAGCGACACAATAAGAAAACTGTGAGGCTACAATGGTTGGTGATGGGTAGAATGTCGTCCACCACCGCCTATGAGATAGTGTTTAAAAAATTATAGAAACAACTTCTGACAAGTAAAACACATTTTCAAACCACCAGCAAAAATTGTATTTTTGATAATTAAAATATTGATATCTTTAACATAACATAACATAACATGTATTCCATGTAACAGCAGGCCACTTGGGCCCAACGAGGTTACAGGTAGATGAACAAACACTGTATGTAAAACACGGTACAATTACACCATTTCATCGAACACTAGCCCACGCTGTTTATAATACAAGTCTAACTCATTTTTAAAATTACTTAACCCTCGCCCGTAAACGGCGATCTGCCACCTTCGCCCATGCAGGGGGGGGGGTTGGTGCGACCCCCCCTTGGCGTTTGAAAACGGAGCGTCGTAGAGCTTAGCGGAAAAGACCAACGGATTGCTCTCACCGAGATCTCGCGATTGGTGGTATATTTTTTGGTCCTAGGTCAACATTTGACCTACTTTTGACCGGTCAAAGGTCAAATTTTCGGAAAAATAGACTTTTTTCAACTTTCCGCGGCGATTGCGGCAAAACGGTGGGAGATATCGACTTGAAACCTTCACTATCGTGTTCCTTGATCAATTCTCTATCGTTTGGTATGTATTTCGTTTCCCTAGCTCTAAAAATGGCGCGTTGGGAGCGCCGGAAGTCGGCAAGGTCACAGTCGGCGGCAGAAATTCGAAAAATCAAAATTTAAATTTTTGAAATCTGATTGTATTTTTGGATTTGGAAGGTCCATTTGCTCCCTATAGAAGCTAATATTGCTGCATATTCCCATTGAGGTGACAAGAATTAGCAAAATAGTGGTTCGGGCGCTTTTCAAAAATAGTACCGGACGCTGTTCCTCTTGTGACGTCATAGCTCCGTGACCTGACCTGACCCGGTCAAGTTTCTTATACCATATGATAGCCAATACTTGCCCCAACATGCATGGGAAGTTTCATCACGATCCATCAACCGATGTCCGTACCACCGGCAGGAAACCTCGGGCGTTGGCACTCAGTTTGTGAAAATCCGGCCGGAGGCTGTTCCCTTTGTGACGTCATAACTCCGTGACCTGACATGACCCGGTCAAATTTTTTTTATAAAAAGATGCGCAAGGTTTGCCCCATAAGGTACCCAAAATTTGGCGGCGCTGCGCGCCGCCGTTTTTGCACTATTTCCGAAAAACCTCAGGGGGGGGGTTGCACCAACCCCCCCCCCTACATGGGCGAGGGTTAAGGAGGAACTATTGATAACTCTAGGAGGTAAACCGTTCCAAGCTTCTATGACCCTACTGGTAAAAAAGGACTGTCTTAACTTGGTTCTGGAAAATTTCTTTACTAGTTTGCACCCATTTCCTCTCGTGGAATTTGCATTGAGTGTAAACATCTTCCCAAAATCTAACTTATCAATCCCTTTGTATATTTTAAAAAGTTCAATCAAATCCCCTCTTATCCTGCGGTAATGAAGTGAAAACATATTTAAGGAAGCCAGGCGTTCTCTGTAGCTCATTTCACCCAGCCCACGAACCATCTTTGTTGCCCTCCTCTGCACACGCTCCAAAAGTTTTATATCCTTTTTTAGAGACGAGTGGCATGCTTGTGCACAGTATTCAAGATGAGGCCGAACTAATGAACAATAGAGTCTTTTCATCACTTCTTTACTTTTATATGATACATTTTTATTTATAACCCCCAACATTTTTAAAGCCTTTTTTCGAGCTTGCACATAATGGCCACTGAACTTCAGATCATTTGTCACCAAAACACCCAAGTCCTTTTCTTCCCTCACAATTGCCAACTTAGTTCCATTCAAATAATATGTATCGTTACTTTTTACTCCCAGATGAAGAACTTTGCATTTATCAGCATTAAATTCCATCTGCCATTCCTTGCTCCATTCTAAAAGAGCATCTAAGTCTGCCTGTAGTGCTCTTCTATCGTCATCTGAAGTAATATTTTTAGCTATCTTGATATCATCCGCGAATTTCCATATGTTACTTGTTAAGTCAGAGTCTATAAGATCTACAAAAATAATGAAAAGCAATGGTGCTAAAACAGTTCCCTGAGGCACACCACTCTTGACAGCTTTCCAGTCAGCTTGATGGCCATTTAGAATGACTCGCTGCCTGCGACCTACTAGCCAGGCCCCTATCCATTTGAGAAGAGGACCGTCTAAACCATGACGCTCTAATGTGATCAAGAGTCTTTTGTGTGGAACTTTATCGAATGCCTTGCTGAAGTCCAAATAAATTACTGATACACTGTTACTCCTGTCCAAAAGGTCTGTCGAATATTCAAGGAAATCTAATAAGTTTGTCAAACAGGAGCGTCCACTACAAAAACCATGTTGAGATGGAAGTAAAATCTCGTGTTCCTCAAAATGAGCAACTATTTGACGTTTTATGATTCTTTCTAGCACTTTACACACAACCGAACTTAAACTTACTGGTCTATAATTGCTCACTACAGTTTTGTTTCCACCTTTGAAGATTGGAATGACATTCGCACACTTCCAATCATCAGGAATTTCACCTGATTCTAATGACTCTTTAAAGATAATGTAAAGTGGAACAGATAATTCTCTTGCTCCTTCTTTTAAGACCCTAGTGCTAATATTATCTGGACCACTTGTCTTATTTGCTTTAAGTCTTAAGATTACACAAAGTTTTAGTTATGTCATCCTCAGACAGGTAAATAGTTGTAAGTTTAGGGTGTGTTGTCGATTTAGGTACATTTATAGGAAACTGCCTGAGGCACTCATCAGTAAAAACGCTCGAAAACTGGCCATTGAATATCTTAACCTTGTCGGCATCGTCATGATAAACCTGATGCTGACTTTCTATTGGTCGTCCAATCCTTGAATCATGTTTATTAAATTTATAAAAACCGAAGAACTTTTTCAAATCACCTCCACACTCATTGGCTAGATTTATCTCTGATGCTCTTTTTGCTTTTCTTATACTCCTTTTAAGTCTCCTTCTGGCTGAAATATAACTAGCCTTATTTTCTTGTGATGGGTTGGTTTTCATTTTGCGAAACGCACCCTTCTTTTCACTGAAATGTTGCCGTACCAGGCTATTAAACCAAATAGGTGTTGCGGACTTCCCTTCACGCTGCTTTTTCATAGGAATAAACTGATTTTGAGCCTCAGTGAGTGTTTTCTTGAAAAGCTCCCACATTCCGTGAACGTTTCTGCCTTCTAACAAAGTTCTCCATTTAATGGTTTGAAAGAATGCCCTGATTCCATCATAATCTCCTCTGGCAAAATTGGGCATGATCGGTAATGTAACCTTTCTTTTCTGTACTTGACCCTGTATGCTGAATCTGATAAGCACATGATCACTATTTCCAATGCTTTCGCCTGAATTCACGTCTCTGATAAGGTTTTCGCCGTTAGTCAAAATTAGGTCAAGTATTTCATTATTTCTAGTTGGCTGAACAACATGCTGTGTCAAAAAAAGCTCTTCAAAGTTTTCCCTGAAAAGCCTCGATTCCCAGTTTGCATTTGCACTCATAAGTTTTGGCAAATTAAAATCTCCTATAATGATTGTCCTTTGACTAATTCCACTCTCTATCTCCTTTATCATAGCTAAATCTGTATCCTTCGATTGATTAGGGGGTCTGTAGAATGCATATCCTTTCTTTTGCTTAATGCATATCCTGCGTAGATGGCGAGTAGGTTTGTCCTATAGCGCTTTTATGGAGGATCTCTCGCTACCCCGTCACCATCAGGGACGGGCTCGCGGTAGGCACTTTGATAATGTTTCCAGCACACCACACATCATACCCGAGCCCCGCGCCCAACCTGTCAAAGAAACTTTGTCGGCGTGGGAGCGAGTGCCACAGAAGAAAAATTACGTGCATGGAACTCGTCTGGATAGCCGAGACTTGGGTAGTGGTGCCGTAGGAAATGTTAAGTTCCGTACGCTCATCGCTCATGACCAGGGGCGCGGGAACTACTTTCAGACTGGGGGGGGGGGGGGGGCACACCATAATAGAGATCAACCTAGGATACCCCCAAATCTAGTTTTCTCACCGGTTTTATAGCAAGTTCCGATCTTCCCGACATTTGAGTCATTTGAGCTGACCTGGAAGGTCAACCAATGACCTAGAACCTTAACGGTTGAGTATTACCGGCCTGCGCCCGTCACGGACAACACGCCGGCGTTTCTTGCTGCGCTCAATCAATCAAGGACCGAACGGCTGGTGGTCCAAATGACCTCTTCCCAAAACATTAGCGGCTGTAGAGTGTAGGTGTAATACCTACCTACGGGCGACGGTTATGATTGGTGCTACTGCGCCTCTAAATAAAGAATACGCACGTCAACTGCGCTATTCACATGTACAATATCTTTCCATTTATACTCATACATGTCTGGGAGGTATGGTCTGAGCACTGAATTGAATCCGGCTGCTGGTCAAGCGTCCTTTCATCACAGATCTACTATGGTGGCGAATAGATGAGTCCATGACGTCAGGACGTCATTCCCGACTCCCGATTTGCGTCATCATCTCAATGCTCACCATGAATGCCCAGTTCCATCGGCTGATATGACATATCTACCTCTCTCTGCCGTTATAAGGCTGGGTAGGAGCCCGCCGCTGAAAGGGCTAGGATATATTTGGCGCTGGTTGCATATTTATAGGTGAATATGAGCGGCAGGTGGCAGCTGACGCCATTCATGTAGCACTATTGTGGTCCACCTATTCGATCGTTCAGTTATACTTTGACGCATGCCACGCAGACATCAAATATATCCGAATCGGGAGTATGTCAGGCTCTCGATATTACTTGAGGCAAAAGACGTAGGTATAAGTTATGGGTGCAGGTACGTAAGTTGTGATTCATATCCGATGTCCTTGCTGTATACTGTGTAGTGCGTACAATCTTACATGACATGAACAATTCAGCATGTAACTGCAATATCGTCAAATATAGCAACTTATCAGCGACTGAAGTCGAACAATGAAATTAAACCGCTGCTATCCAACATTCCCAGTTCAGCCGCTGCCGCATTTCGAGACTCTTGGCTTTAATTCTACACGTCTTCTGCTAAACGCTTCTATAATCTATATGCATCATAAATGTGTGTGATTGGCTAGGCTAGCAACCTCTGCAGCTGTTTGTAAATGACGTTCAAATTACATAAATGACAGTTAAATTACAAATAACCTAGAGAGTTTCAAACCCGGCCTAGTGACCGAAGCTTTATATAGAGCCTCGAGCGGGAAAGCCGACGTCAATCGTCCTCAGTTCAGCGGAATCACACAATTGCGATTCGACTAAGCCTATTGGGTAACGGTGAAGTGACTGAGGCATTTTTTCCACACCGTTGACCTTTTCCAGTGCAGGACTTCTATAATTCTTGCTGTGAAAAAGGTGCCGTTGAGTGTTGCTGAACCCGGCTTAATTTAGGCACAGCAGCGAACATTTGGTTGAACGACCTAAGGTTTTTAAGTTGATTGATAAATAACAAGTGCCAAATATTGCCATCGTTCTGCTCTGAAACCAGCATCATGTAAGCTTTCATCAGCTTACCAGAACAGTGAGCTGAGAAAGTGGAAGGCCTATTTATTTGTGGAAACTGGAAAGACGTAGGTACACTGAAAAATATTACCACCTTATTGCGAGTGCTAGATTGAATAAAAACAACCCTTTTAACCCATTTAGACGCCTTCACTCCATTTCTGACAACTAGGTACTTCTGGATTTGTTCTGAGCCACCGGGGTCGCAGCACAGCGGGCGGGCACCGTCGTCAATTCCAAACTTATCTGGCAGGATGCGGGTGCCGGTCAGCCGAGGCTAATGCAACCGGTACGCCGGTCGTATCCCGTGGCACATAGTGGCACGTGGGTAGGTAGTGGTATGTGGGCGTCAAACGTATCTCGTAGTCTACACGTGAGTCACGCTGGTCGCCCCTGACGCGGCTGGATGAGCCTGTCTGACAGTGAAATGCGGGGCATTCTTCGGTCGCTCGACGGCGACAGGAGAGCTTAAACAATTTACCGTCCGTTTAAACAGTTTTCGGCTCGGTGAGCGTTTCATGTTCCCAAAGCCGCCGGAAATGAAATACATTGGTGTCGACGAGTAGGGTAGGTCAAACTACGTGTCATCTTTATACAAATGCATACCTGCATGAGAAGGCGTTGTGGCATGGACAGAATCCTTTAAGTGTGCCGAGGAGAGACATTTTAGCGCATTAGAGTCATACATGTTTCAGCAAAGATGATCCAATGTTTAACGGGATCATTTGTAGTTTCACAATGCGGCTCGTGGATGGTGGTCAGACGTGCTCGCTTACGCGGTGGGTCATAAATTCGAAAACGTCCTCTTGTATCTTGCAGCTCCTTAGATGCGATCCGGATTTGCAGTGCATGGGAAAGCGTATGAGAAATGTGACGATAAAATCAAATGAGTTTAAATAGCCTAATGTTCTTGATACCGCGATGCACCCGGCCAAATGCATTATACGCATGGATATGAGAAAATACAGATCTGGAAGCTGACCCAATTGCGAATCAGTGGGAGCTGGGACTCTGTGAGAGCATAGCCCTAGCTCTTCTACTTTGTCAGAGAAGAGACACTCGGACAGTTGACCAAATCCCGGATCCATGCACATGTCTGCCTCGAAGCGTGGAACATACCTTCGATTTATGATTAGGTATACATTATGTACATAGGAAGACGTACATAACGTTCCAAAAGCAGTATTATAAGCTCAAATACATGTAGCACAATAACGCACGATCTCGAAGATGGTAACCTTGTCGACAAACTTCCTTTCTTGACCAGATAGCGTAGGCAAATGGCAATTATAAAACCAACAGCAGAAAGCGTTGAGATTGAGAAACATTTGAAAGGAGACCATGGAACCTGTGCTGGTCGAATAGAACTGACGAAGGCAACCTTTCTGAGAGACAACGGAAATTACCTTTGAGTAGGTACCTGTAACTACCGACTGTCATGGGCTCGTTCCTCGTATGTATGTACCAACTAGTCTACCTCCCCCCCCCCCCCCGTTCTAACGCCGGTCTTGATTTCCTTCCATCTGTTACAGACGATGTGGATCACCAAGCTGCGTGAGGCCCAGGACAAGTGGAAGCGGACGCTGCAGAACACTGTGTTCCGTGCCACCACGCCCGAGCCGCGGCTGCGGGCTCCGTCAGGAGCCAGTCCCCAGGCGCACCACCACCACTGACCCCGGCCACACACCAGCGACCGCGCGGAGACCTTCTCCCTTCACCGCGCGGAGACCTCCCTTCACCGCGCGGAGACCGACTCCCTTCACCGCGCGGAGCCCTCCTTACTTCAGCACCGGTAACTCCACCATCTTCTGACAGAAACTCGGCAGCTGTATTTTAAGCACAAATAGGAACTATCTTCCACATCCTTCACTCACTGGAAAGTGTGCAATTAGTTACCCGAACGAGCTGACATGACGGTATCGTCGCATTTTCTTGATCTCTTGTAAAGCTGAAACAACTGCGTCGTTTCCTCTTTAGTGTGGAGCTCGCTGCTCGCCATTGACACTCAGCGCGCACATATTAGTTGCCTCAATACTGATGTTCTCAATCGCTGTCTCGGAGGCGGGAGAGATGTTATGAGCACACCCTTTTGGGCCGAGAAACGGGCGACAGAGGCGGGTGGTCGTCAGAACCAGATTTGCTGAGTGAGGCGCGCTCTCGTGTACCTAGTCATTGTGTGGGCGGCTCCAGACCTCGCGGTCATCTGCTTGAGCTGTCCGCGAGTCTGTGCGCGTCCTGTGTCGCGAGGAGCGTGGTGGGAGTCTGCTTCACGCCGTGATTGTTGGATGAAACTGTCGCTCGCTGTTGCTGCCAGGATGTGCGCCGCGTCGTGTGGCTGCTGTGTGCAGTGTCGTCTGCTTCATCGGAGAACGGGCAACTCTGTATTTTTCCAGTATGAATGTGCGGAGGTGTGGAAAGAATGTGGGGACCTAAACGGGCGTATTAGTGGAAATCCATGCTAGTCAAATGGGTCATGGGAAGACGTGGGGTTTAAGCTGTCGCATAATCTCTTCCAATTCCAATGCATCTAGTTTGATTTAGAAATGTAACTTAAAAAGCGTTCTGACTTCTGACTAAGCTTGTTTGGATCTGCGAGACGAACCAAAAAGGCATTGGATTGCTCATCAAAAATGTTCAAAATTAGCGCAGCATAGTTGCATTTTAAGCCTGTGATACTCTAATCACTATACATGTGACGCGATTGAACGGTCGAAAGACGATTAATTTTATCGCATGACTGGGGATAAATGTCGCCTACCTACCCTATCTACCGTGTCATCACTCATGTCTGACACTGGCAGTGTGCCAATATTGAGTGACACTGGGCGATGTTGACCTTGACCTGAGGTCACGGTCGACCTGCTCTCAGGAGCGGATTGAGCTAGTCAGTCACATGGTGCAGGGTGCCAGGTTGATGGCCGGTGGAGGGCGCCATGTTGATATTTTCCGGGGGTTAGAGGCGGGGCTAGGGGACGGGCGGCGGGAAGGGGTGGGAAGGGCGAGGCCGCCGGCCGGACCGATAATTCTCATTGTGAAACGATGGCCGGCGTTCGCCGTCGTCGGACAGCAATGCTGAGGGGAGATGAGACGCTTTCGGATGACTTGTTGACGCACTGATGAATGTCTGAGATTTTTATATGTCCGTCGCAACTATATCGCTGGTCAATAAATGTTTATATCATGTTGGTACTTGGACTGTCTGACTAGTTCACGCCCCGAGGATTCACTCAGCATGACTCGGCTCTTTCGCTGCTGGATGGCAGGAGGCCAACTGGGCTGCCTCGCGAGCAAACAATGATCGGTCGATGGGGGTGGCTGCGTTACTCAGACACACTTAAACACGTAAACACCTGTGTGTAATAACACTCCAGTCAATGCGAGTCAGTGAACACAGGTGTATGTGCATGCAATGATGTCCGTGCGTGCAGGACATTTGTGATTTATGAATCACTTCGCTGTGGTCTAGAAGTACGGTTGAATCGTCCGTCCGAACACACTCGCTACTATAACGTAGTTGATCAGTGATTTGTTTTTAGCTGTGACTTGGCTGCACTCTTTCGCCAAACATTTTTCTTTACTCACTGGCAAGCGAGTACCTACCTATACCTAAGATACTCTTAAAATATTCGGTTAAATTTAGGGTAGCCCGTGGGGCAAGACGCCCCAGATAATTTAATTTGCTACATAAATTTTGTCCCACATCACCTGGAAGGCCAAATTTGTGCTCAATGCGTTCTTTGGACGTTTTACTTTAAATTGCACCCCTCAAATTGATTCACTTACGATCGGACTCCAAGCTAGAAAGTGATTTGTGAAGCAACTGCAAATGGGGCATTTTGCCCCAACCCCAGGGCAAAACGCCCCACGGCCTGGGGCAAGTAGCCCCATACTTTAGATTTAAGATTTAACATGGTAGTTGGCTAAATCTTATGTGAGAGGTCCGTTAGACCTCTGGAGGCACGGCACTGAAGTTAGCACATTCCATCCTGTCAGGTGCTCAGCTATGGCACTATTGTATGAGCAGATTTTTCACCTACCTCATAAGACCAAATAATAAATTATTGCAATGCAAATGTTAACAAAATACTTCCTTTGCCATCCAGTTGCTGAGAAAAATACACATAAAGGCATAGAAACTTACTGTTCGCCAGCTACCGAACATTAGAAAGTGGGTAGCCCGAACAACACATGAGGTAAAACGCCCCAGGGGCTTTTTGCCCCGCGACCTACTGGGGCGTTTTACCCCATCACGTAGTTCGGTCAGAGAACAACGCCTTGCACTCCAGCAAGACATAATTTAACACGATCCAACCCGGCATGATGAGCGTTAGACAATAGTTGTTCAAAATACATAAAAGTCGTTAACCTAATGTGGACCATAAAAGAACGCCATGATACATAATCTGACAACAAAACATAAAAATCACTCAAAAAACACATTTTTGGCTATATCTCCCGAAAGAGTCATCACAATTTCTTTCCAGTCTGCTCATATAATGATCATACAGTGCCAAGGGTGGAGCTTATACAGTGCCAAGGGTGGAGCTTCCTATCATAGAGATCTTATATACATAGAGATGACATGCACTTAAAATCGTGGCGATTCAGTGGGTCTTTTTAAGCAACTTATTTTCAGCCAGTAGCGTGCCAATATGGCTGAGGCGTTGTTAGTCTGAAGAAATTATTACGTAACGAGCGAAGCAAGCGTAGTCTTTCGTAGATTAACGGAAATTTCTGAGTATGAGTGGCCGGCCGGCCGTGGTTACGCTTTTGCGAGGCTTATATCTCAGCAACCACTTGACTGATTTACATTCGATGATTTTTCTAGGGTAGCTTCATTCCTTCTACCAAGTATTGGACTATTCTCGATGCATATGGGTGACCGTTTATGCACGTGCCACGTGCAAAACGAAGAGGTGTCAGTTTTGCAATTGTTGCAATATCTTGGTAACTACTTGGCCGATTGCGCTGAAAGTTGGTATGTAGGTAGGCACCCACTAGGCAATGCATATCCATGTGCCACAGTTGGGGTGCTGCTGCACGTGCGCACGTGCAGGGGCAGGGGCGCCGCCACGGATTTTTGACTGGGGGGGACGGACTGACCGACTGAAAACCCAAAAGTAGACCTTACCGTGGCTTTTTCGGTCGGATGCATTCAACGTTTAAAGCAAATATGCCACTTTTAACATAGGGTTTTGAACTGAAGTAGCAGTTTTGTAGCTTGAGCTGAGACGAGAACAAATCAGGAGCTTTTATGGCTCGTTGTGCACGAATCGGCGCGAAGCGCCGCGAAAATTGGCAAAAAAACATTAGGCAAAACTGCTCCAAAATACGAATTTTGCAGCCCGTGTAACAAGCTTGATACCAGAAAACCTTAGGTCAGGAAAACCAAATCAAGTAGTCAAGTCGCCTCAAAGTTTTGTAGTCCTGTCAACCGTATAGCTTATTTCTTAGAAGCTGGAAATTTAGTGTAGCGTGACTGCATAAGTGTGGGGTCGGAGCTGGAATCAGTCGGAGTTGACTGTTTTGGCCAGTTTTGGCCAGAGTCGGAGTTGAAGTCTTCGAAAATGTTCGGATTTTGACTACGAGGTCGGATTGGTGTATTAAGTCATGCTCTTGGCTGGTTAGACGAAATATATTAGGCCCGTGTTCGGCCAGTCGTGTTATACGACACACGTTGATCACGATATCAAAAATCGGCAGTTCCGCGATAACAGGTCAGAAAAGAGCTGGATATTTTGTTGGCCGAGGTGGCACGGGTCAGACCAATGCATCCAGCTTCCCGGCTCTACATAAGACGTGAATGAGTGAAAAGCCACGTTTATTGTGGACCTTATTTGAATACCTCTGAATCTGAATCTGAATCTGCATGTAGGCCCACACCCCATATACTGAGTATCTAAACCTCCTGGACCCTCTCAGACTCGGCACCGGCCGTTCCATCTCTTCCATCCTCAGGACAGTCAAATCCTTCTCCTCCACGCCGCAACCCCCTGCTCCGGGCTGGACGGGCAACTCTATCCCATGCGGGAATGGCTCCACTGGAGCTATAGTCCTCAGTGAGTGCCAGTGGGCTGGGCTGCCTGTTCAATTGGTCGGGTTCATCCCAAGTGGCTCACTGGGGTGGCTGCCCCGACCAATGTCTCCCACTAATTCTTTCATACTTGCGGCTCTGAAATGGTCTCATTGGACCGAAGGGCCTAATCAAATTTCGAGTAGGATAACAACCAGTAAAACGCCTTTTGGGGCGACCAACGGAGCGAGCCAGAGGGTGGGGTGGGCCTTGCACGTGCGAAATTGCGAGGGGATACCTCCAACTAACTTGTGTACTGCACTCTGCTAACCGGTCCCTAACGATGTGCCAAATTTGAGCGCAATCGGCCTAGCCGTTCTCGAGATCTGGAAGCGGCACCCTGCACGTGGCACGTGCGCACGTGCAAAATGGGTCCCAACTGACTTTTGCACGGCACCCTACTAACCGGTCCCTAACCATGTATCAGATTTCAGTACAATCGGTTCAGCCGTTCTCGAGATCTGGAATCGACCCCTGCATGTGCGCACGTGCAGCAGCACCCCAACTGTGGCACATGGATATGCATTGCCTAGTGGGTATACCTACCTACATGCCAACTTTCAGCGCAATGGCGGCCCTGTAGTTGCCGAGATATTGAAATTGTTACAACACTGACACCTCTTCGTTTTTCACGTGGCACGTGCATATGGGGTCACTCACATGCATCGGGAATAGTCGTTAGCTACCCTACAAAAATTACCTATAGTCTGTCAAGTGGTTGCTGAGATATAAGCCTAGCAAAAGCGTGACCACGGCATACTCAGAAATTTCCGTTAACCTACGAAAGACTACGCTCGCTTCGCTCGCTCCGTAATGAGTTTGGGGGGGGGGACGTCCCCCTTCCATTCTGTGAGTGGGGGGGACGCGTCCCCCCCGTCCCCCCCGGTGGCGGCGCCCATGTGCAGGGGTCGATTCCAGATCTCGAGAACGGCTGAACCGATTGTGCTGAAATTTGGTACATGGTTAGGGACCAGTTAGTAGGGTGCCGTGCAAAAGTCAGTTGTGACCCATTTTGCACGTGTGCACGTGCAGGGTGCCGCTTCCAGATCTCGAGAACGGCTAGGCCGATTGCGCTCAAATTTGGCACATCGCTAGGGACCGGTTAGTAGGGTGCAGTGCACAAGTTAGTTGGAGGTGACCCTTGCAAATTTGCTTGTCCAAGGCCCACCCTCTCGCTCGCTCCGTTGGTCGCCCCAGACAGAAGGCGTTTTACTGGTTAAAAATATTGCTGTTCTTTCCTGGCTGATTTCATTCCTGAGGTAAGCAATGAAATTTGTAGCATGATTTCATTTTGTGTTTTTATTGAATTCCTTAACCCGCGCCCTGCTGGGGGGGGGGGGTGTTTGAACACCCCCCCTTGTGGTTTTTCGCGAATATCTCAAAAACGGCGGCGCGGAGCGCCGCCGTTTTTGGTACACCTTATCATACATCAATTCTACACATGTTGTAAAAATTTCAGACCAAGGTCATTCAAGGTCAGGTCACCAGGTCACTTGAAGTGACCTCACCTCATAAAAAGTTTCAATGTCTGTCATAGCTACACCGAGTGACCGATCGCTTTGAAACTTTCAGCGATGGCTAAGAGCAATAGTATGTACAAAATGTATATCTCAGAATTTTGATATCGATGACCTAAGGTCAGGTCAATTTTGCGACCTCCCCATTATAAGTCAATGGGAGAAAATTGAAATGCGCCTCCTTTAGACGAAAGACATTATAAACACTCCCAAACACTGAATTACAAGTGGTTTAGACACACTGAACATGAAAATGGTGTCCGTGACCCCTGTTTATACCCTGAGGTCATCTTAGGTCACGAATGGTATCTAACAGTTTTTCGCAAATAACTTTTGATAGAGGCATGCTAGAGCGATGAAAACGCCTTAGATGTGTTCAGCTCGACGATACGGATCGACTGATATGCAACATGACCCTTTCCGGTCAGGTCATGACCTTGACCTGAGGTCAAATTTTCAAGTTGACCTTTCAAGGTCAAGTTATAGTTCATTCGATGCGTCTTGACGAGAGGAACACGATGCCGGTAAAAGTAAGCTCGTACAAGGCTTGGGTCAAAAGTTATTGCAGAACAACTGTTTCCGAAAAAATCGGCTATTTT